AGAGCTAAATGTGTGGTTTAGCTTCACATTAGTTATTTAGGCTTATGTTTTGGGGTGTTTTTTTTTTTTTCATGTTTGCCACTTTCAAAAAAGAATCAATAAAAGGCATGTGAAAATATCTAAATGAACACAGGGGAAATAGTGTCAGGAATCAATACTTCTCTACCAGCATGTTTAACCTGCTGAAATGAAGTGTTAATCACAGAAATAAGATACCATATTACATTTATAAACTAATGAAACTAGAAAAAGCAAAGCGTGTGACACTATAATTAAACAGCTGGAAGACATCCAAGCCTGTGTAAGTTGATAACCCTGGTACAATCTCTGGCAGTGAAAAGGCAGGTCTGCAGTGAGTTGATATGGCCAGCTCAGTTGTTAATTGAATAACAGGCAATCTATAAACACTACTAATTGCCTGTGTGAAAACCTGTGTACGAGTAGAGAAGCTGCCTAAAGAAGCACACCAGGAAAAACTACATGGATAAAGCACTCAGCAAATCTTCTGTCTCTCTCAATTCTGTTAAGTCATAGCTTAGTTTTGTCACTGCATCCTTCTGATTAACCTCTACACAGCAGACTTAATGATACATTTTTCAAAAGATCATTTTTCTTCCTAACTCAATACGAAACACAGAACTATCAATTACCCATTTCAGAAAAGAACAAACAAGTAATCTAGAAAATTCAGCCTGTGAATGGAAAGCTTTCTAAATTGTAAAAGAAGACATGGTCTCATTCCCAACAGGCAAAATGCTTTTCGGAATTGTTCCGACGCATTTTGCAGAAGTGTGGCAGCTGCTGTGAATAGCATGGAGTGTTAAGATTTGACACTTTTTTTTTTCTTAAGGATATAGCCATTTGGGGAGGCTCAGAAACTGTTGCTGGAATTTTACTTACCCATTTAATAAATCCTTTTAGAATGATTATTTCAACCCTGGTGAATATAAAACATTTCAAAACTACTGCTCTAGGATCTAAATCAAACTTTATATTTTAAATCTATAAAGAAGACTGGCCCAAGGGATTAGTTATGAGACAGGAAACCTCCTCTAGTTTAACATTCAAATTCAAATAAGGTCAGTGGAGAGCAAAGGTCATTGTCATGCTAAAGGTATCTAGCAGCTTCCATGAAATGAATTGATAAGCTTACCACTCCCTAGTGCACACAGTATCCCATCAGGAAATCCAGAACCAACAATCAGAGTACTACACAATATTTAGAAGCACAAGTATTAGAACCAGATTTACTTATACTCAATTATGGCTCCAGTACTAACTAGCTATAGGCAAAAAGCTTAGGCTGGGCGCGGTGGCTCATGCTTGTAATCCCAGAACTTTGGGAGGCCAAGGCGGGTGTATCACGAGGTCAGGAGTTCGAGACCAGCCTGACCTACATGGTGAAACCTAGTCTCTACTAAAAATACAAAAATTACCCGGGTGTGGTGGTGCACACCTGTAATCCCAGCTACTCAGGAGGCTGAGGCAGGAGAATTGTTTGAACCCAGGAGGCGGAAGTTGCAGTGAGCTGAGATCATACCACCATACTCCAGCCTGAGCTAGAGTGAGACTGCGTCTCAAAAAAAAAAAAAAAAGCTTAATGTCACTGGGCCTCAGTTTCTTCAACTAGAAAGTAGGATTTAGTAAATAAATCTCATAGGGTTGTTAATGAGGAATCAAAGATCTAACAGGTAATATACTTGCTTAGCAGGGTCTCACATAAGAAGTGCTTAATAATAGGAAAAGTTTTTTAAAATGAGGCATATAACTGTAAATAAAAATATCTTTAGCAGTAGCATGTAATTGAATAACTGAATGGTGCCTGAAGCTGAGCTTCTCTTTCACGTTTGATCGGTCTAGAAGAGAATAGCAGCTTTCACCAAAATTCCTTGAGAAAAAATATGGATTTGACTGGCCTCACTTTAAGATATAGACACACTTCAGCTAATTGATACTTTTTATTAAGACCAAGTGTAATTCTTCAAATATGAATCCTTCAGTCAATTAGAAATAAGAATGAAAAGAAGCTATTAAGAATCATTGTTAATTATTTTTTGAAGAATAAGTTTATAAGTATAAAAGGTGTGACAGGTGCTGCACACAGGGAAATCAATAAAGTCTAGGAAAGGGCTGTCATGTCTGCTTTTACCCTGGAGGACTCTTAATCTAAGAGGTCCCCAGATATCCAGGAGAAAGACCTGATTTGCAATGTTTAGACATTAATTTCAAACACTCCTATCAAACATCAGAATTAACAGTAACTGTTTGTTAGTTTCACCAATTCGCTGACTACAAAATGGTATGTTAATTGAAAAGACTTTTAGGGACCAACCAGGTATGCCAAGTCTTCCATGTATTTATAGGTAGAACATAAGCGATCCAGTCTCCGTTAAAGCCCCACGCTCACTTCACGGGTAGAGATCCCCACCCACAATATGGGCACGGCAGCCTTCTGGAACCCACACCTGCTTCCAGCACATCCAGCTTCTTAGCAGGATAGGGAGTTACATTTCTCATCCTCGCTGCATTTGAACTTTAAGATTTTGGAAACTGTCAACATTGAGTTCTCTGCTCTTGAATTAATTTTATATCTTGCTCCAACAATCTAAACTTTCTGATCTTCAGGCCCAGATATAAACCCAGTTTCAACAAATATTAAAAACAGATAAATTACAAATGAAGCAAGATTCATTAACAATAAATATGTTAAAATATAATCATAATCCAATGTTGAAGCTCCTCCTAGAACACAAAATAAAAAAAAAGTACCAAACTAAAATTGCAATGCAGTTTCAGTATTTAAACACGGATGTTAAACAAATCTAACTATTTTTCAAATACCATGTATGAGTGTGTATGTGTGTGAGTATAAACCTTAACCACACATGGGTTTCAATGATATGTATTTAGTGTATTTTATACTATTATTGTAGATATCCAAAGGGACTCTATTAAGAATGAAGTTACATCTATTACTTTAGATTAAAAGCAACTAATACTATACAGCATGGATTCATCAATTAAACTAGGAGTCACTTGAACCATTTTTGAAGCAGTTTGTTTTGTTTACAAATGCATGATCACATAACAAAAAAAAAATTCTTTAGGGAAAAACGATACACAGATGTTAGTGAGTGGCATTCAGACTAAAGTAGTGTTTTTCCATGTCCTTCACTGATATCAACATTATAAGATTTCTGATATAAATATATGATGATTATTTTTAATCGTAAACTTGTGCACTTTAATATAGATTTTCAAATGGCTACCATATCAAAAACCATGAATCCATAACTAACTTATTTTAATCCAAAACAATCAAGAGTAGCATATGAATAAGATACCAAGATTTGTAGCTAAATACAAATAAAGAATCCTCACCCTCAAGGAGCTTCAAGTGAGAATACATCTTGGACTATTACCCATAATGTAATGTTGTGATATACAAACGGTATGATCAACATCCCACAGGAATACAAAGAATAGGTGATTTCTCAAATATAAAAGTTTTGCCAAGATGAAGAGTTGGGGAAAAGGGTGTCCCAAAGCAAAGCTTCAACCTAAATTAGATATGAAGGTTCAACCTAATAAGGTATGAAACCTACTGAGACAATATTCACCCTAATAAGAACATAGAATTCAGGGATGGGGAGTAGTTGAATATAAACATGCAAAGACAAGTGTAAAAAGCCTTATGTTTCATCCAGGCACGGTGGCTCACTCTGTAATCCCAGCACTTTGGGAGGCCGAGGCATCTGAGACCAACCTGGCTAACATAGTGAAACCCCGTCTCTACTAAAAAAAAAAAAAAATTAGCTGGGTATGGTGGCAGGCGCCTGTAGTCCCAGCTACTTGGGAGGCTGAGGCAGAAGAATCGCTTGAACCTGGGAGGCAGAGATTGCAGTCAACCAAGATCACACCGTTGCACTCCAACCCAGGTGACAGAGTAAGATTCCATCTCAAACAAAAGAAAGCAAAACAAAACAAAAAGCCTTATGTTTCATGCAAGAGAATTTAGCATTTTTCCTAAAGTCAATGGGAAGATATCTAAAGCATATTTTTGTGCAGAGAAGTGATGATCAGAATTGTGTTTTAGAAAGAAAGTTCTAGTAGAAGGTCAGACTGGACAGGGATAGAGAACTGACCTAAAGAGGCCACTGAGGGGCCAGTGCAACTGTTCAAGTGAGAAATGGCACAGATGTGAACCAGGGCAATGAAGTGGCTGAGGGACCTGCCTGGTATTCAGAGTGAGCATAGATAGGCATTAGACAGGATATGGAAAGAGAAAGGTTACCAAAAATAAGCACACCATTTCTAGTTTGAGTGACTAGGTGCATAGTGAGACTCAACTGAGAGAGGAAATATAGAAGCACAACATTGGGGAACTTCTGAGACTGGCCTGAATGAAAAAAAAATTAAAACTATATAAATTACCAAAGAAAATGCTCTGACAGTCAAGTTGAAATGCCCCAGTAAGAACAGGAAGAAAGTAAACTTTGGCTTTTTCCATTAAAATAAGTAACTTATCCTTCTTTGCTAAACGCACTGGTCAACATTATACTTTCCATATAGCAACAGACCATTAAGCATCTTACAAATACAGTTCTAGCCTCTTGTTTATTTGCTTAATTATTTCCTATAGATATCCTGCATCTGTAAATCAGACCTTCCTAAGCTGTAGAAATTAAACTGTGATGTACACATTTCATCCTTTTCTGGAAGCACATGAGTGTTCAGAGCTAGAGGGGGCTACTCTGATCTTGCCATTAGAAATTATCAGAAAAGGACTGCATGAGTTTCATGTGGGTATAGAAAGTAGAGGAGAAAAGGCAATTTCTTCCCATTGTGTTAGAATTTGGCCCTCATAAATGTTCTAAGAGGCACAGGAGGACAAGTGTGAAGATGAGTCAGACTGGAGACATAGCAGTTATCCAGTGAGAGCTGGAATGGCTTGCGAGATATGGACACAGAGAGACAAACTTAAAGGAATGCTCAGTTACCTTCAACATCACAACTCAGGTAATTACGCACTTCATTCAAAATGAAGTTGATATCTTCCTCTGAAGGAATTGGATGGGGTGTAACATCAGTTGGAGTATCAGTAGTGCCAGCGATCGTCATCTTTTGCCAGGGTAAGAAGAAAATAACTCGCCCATCGCTGGTTGCTGGGTCAAGAAGTCCCATGCTCTCGGGGCTGAGGTACAAAGAAGGGTTATTTATTTCTGAAATTTTCAGAAGTTTAACATTAATCTGCATTCTAAAAACTATTTATTCATTAATTCTCAAATAAACAAACAAAAAAGATATGAACTATTACTTATACTTCCCCTACCCTAGAAACTCCTGAAAGAAACAAATAACAAAATAGAATGAAACAAATGTGATGATAACAACATTGCACAGCAGAGCTACCCCTTCCCTCCCCACTTCAACAATGCAAGGTTAAGAAAGTGGGCTTCAACTTCCAACTGTTTGAGTTTCATACTCCTTGGACCATTCACATCAGATAATGTCAGCAGGATAAATGTCTATAATTTCCTTTATAATGGTAAATTAAGGGTATGTCTTCAACCTTTTTTCAAGAATAGTCAAAGTATTTTCCTGGGACATTTGATATTTCATCGCTCAGTAGAAATTCTCAGGAATACATGAGAAAGTGAAGGGTCTACCTTTCTAGAAACTAAAATGTAATCACAAAGTTCTTTACTACTTTATGCCTAGATGAACTCGGGCCACTTCTCCAAATATGAGATTTCTTACTTTATTTTGAGGTTACAAAAATCTCAAGAAGTGCATCTAGAAGAAAAGAGCTCCATTTTTTACTACTCCCTAAATAACGATGTCCTATGATTAGGTCAAACAGGACAGGAACATGTTAGCAATGAAAATCTTTCACAGAGAAGACACTACTAGTGTACTATGCTAAATCAAGGTACAATGCTGCCTCTACTGACAGACTATATAAAATCTCCCAAAACTAGAGTCAAAAATTTTTACTGACATTTACTATTCTAAAATCAAATAATAAAACATATTTGAAAGAATAGGAAACTGTAAACAAACATTAACAAAACCCGTCATTTTGTTTTTAAATCACTAAAAACAGATGTTGTATTTTGTTCCTTAGCCATTCAAAGAAATTTGGAGATGTTAAAAGAGTGAGAGGAATCTTAAAGTGTCCTATTCAAGTAGAACACTACAAATCTTCAGATAGCTGCTTCAATTTGGATTCTTGTATCAAGCCAGTGTTACTGGTATTTTCTATAAATATGTTTTTAGCTTCTATTAACGTTATTTCTTAAATAGGAAACATAATTCTATTTGGTTTGAACAAATTTCAAGAAATCCCTCTTACACATAAATTTAAAAGGACATACAGTCAGATTTTTATCTTTATCATCATTCCCGTAAAATATTTTTAAAAAATGATTTATCCCAATGTGTAAAAATCAAAGGCTAGCAACTGTGTAAAAAATAATAATAATATTTTATATATAAAAAAGAAACATACAGGCAGTTTAACTAATGCCTCTCCTTTATTTAAACCACAAGGAGTATGAGTCTTTCTCTTCAAAAAACTCTCGGCCACATGAAACGCTTGCCCTGTCTACTCAGCCTTAGCAGCAAGAAGTCACTGTTCACAGCCTATCTGAGACACACCGGAGAGAGTGGGTAGAAGTTCTTCTACTTAGCTAATCCAAAAAGCAACCCGGAAATCTGCAATCATTTAAACCGCAGCTCAGAGTCCCACCTTCACTCAGCGTTACTTAGAAAATAATTTTACTTTTACTTTAATATATTGAAAACTACAAATATCAAGTATTTTTGATCTCTAAATATGATTATTTTTTCTTTGCATTTATCATAAAACTCTCTAAAAATCTTAGAAGAAACTAGTTAATCACATGTTTTATAAGTATATTTTTTGATCCTGGGTTGATATGCCCTTAGATTATTACATCAGTCACTTTGAGATTAGAAATGAGAATAGAACACTCAGAGTTCAAGCATTCTATCTGATAAACAGAACTATATTGAAACAAAAAAATATATTCCATATTCTAACACTTGATAAATTATATGCTAACATATTTTATATGACTATATCATGGACCAGACATCATATGATGTGTCTAAAATAATAAACCTGATAAATTTAATCATAAAATTATAATATTCATCAACCTAAAAAGGAAATATCATTAGAAATGCACAACTATTGAATCCTTTAAAAACTTTCAATGCAATAAAGTAGTTTAAAAGGTGAACGTGATGGTTACCAACACACACATAACTGGAACCTGTAGAGAATCAACTGCTTAAGTGAAGACATATGTGACAAACATAAAATTAACAAGCACAGAGGGAAGACAAAGCTATTAATGAATGTTATAAAAATTTAAGAATCCACTTGGAAATATCTTTCATCAGTTCTAAATTACCTAATTCACACTCTCCCTTAGGGAAAAGTTTGTTTTCTCATGAAGGATTAATTTTGCAAGTTCACACTAAAGTTTGAGAATGGATATCAACTATAGTGATAGTATACACAATGCAATAAGGCATAGGTCTTTTTTCAATATATACGATTCATTTGACATCAGGAGGGAAAGCCTGCTGCTAATTTATGTGTGTGTCTAGGATTAAATGTAATGAACATTCTTCTCATGCAGACCATCACTTTCCTGAAGTGCCCTTAGTTAAACTGAAATCAATTTATTGTTAACTACTTAGCAATCAGTGTTAGAGTTAACAGTATGTACACACATTATAGAAAAAAAAACTGACCTCTTGTCAGTAGCAAAAAGCATCAGTAGGCTAAACAAAGATGATTATTTTCTGCATTTCAGTCATTTGGTGTATTATCGCTGCTTTTGGAAGGGTATCTAGCCATAACTCTCAAGGAAATTCCAGATTTGTTCTTAATATAAAGAGTGGCTTTCAAAATTTCTGTGTTGTGTTTTCCAAAATTAAAACAATTTTTCCTTCTTCCCCTCTTCCCCTAAAAAGCTGCTATCATGGTGTAAGATAATTCTACAGGTGGAACATTAGTTAAGGTTACAACAAAATTAACAAATGCTATAAAGATATTTCTGAAAACAGTCCAAGAAGATACACTGCACATATGGTTCTTTACTCTTCCTTTGCCAGCCTACACACAATAAATCAATGGTTACTGAACTCACTGCATTTCCAAATGGATCAGGTACTAACTGAAACATGCCTGGTCTTAAATTATCATTAGCCAATTATGGGCAGCCCCAGAAGCTTTGGTTCATCCCTGAAGACGTAGTCAAAACTGTTGAGTAACAGCTGCTAAGTATGATTGCCTGATGATACCACAGAGTCATTTCAGTTTGGGATCTCCTAATATCACCCAAGAGAATGACTTGATAGGAAGAGGAAAACCACCCCTACGGGATGCCAGAAATACAGTTGCCTCAAGGTCAGTCCTGAATGAGGGAATGAACCCTTAATCTAAGTCACAATCCAAAGAGAAGGGGCTCGTCTGTAAGAGAGCCTGAATGGGAACTAGGCTGCAGACCATTCCTTTAAAGCTTCCAACAGGATAGGTAGTGGTTATAGCTCACAGTGCTAAAAATGGGGATATCAATTTCTCCCAAAATAGAAAGAGGTCACTTGCTGCATCTTAGCCTGAGACAGACCTAGCTGTAACTAACACCATCATGCTTCAGGAGACCTGAAGCTAATGCTGAATTTTCAGGATTCAGAATGTTTAAAATATTACATCTGGGTAATATATACCTTTATTCTTAAGAGACACGAAATCTACTCGTTACTAAGTGTATAAAGCGTAGTATAGAACAATATATGTAACATGACCACTTTCACACAAAATTTTTAACAGAATACACATTTGTGCTTATAAAAACATTTTACGGAAGGAATTGGAAGAAGAGGTTATTAATTACCAGAGAAGAACTGAGGAAGGGAACAAAAGGTAGGGGGAATAAGAGGCAGGCTTTCAATTCTCATTTTCATATTTCTATTTTTTTCCATGGTGATTGAAATTTCTAGTTATGTACTTACATTATTCATTTATTTTTATCTACAGGGGTTACCTGGGCAGTAAGTTGAAGAAGAATCATGTTTTATTTTCATATTTTAAATTCACCATATTAAAAAGCTCATAAATGTTACATTAAAATTTTAATAAAAATAAAGCAACAATCTCAATATAAGCAAGTTAACATAAAAAAATTTAGTAGGATTCATTAAAAAAATATTTACTAGGCACTATTACGTGCCAGACACTGTACCAATAGCTGGGGATACAGCAGTCTATAAAACAGAGAAAAAATAACCCAAAGATCATTGTCAAACCTTATACCAGTTAGGTATTATCAAGATATAAGGGTCCAGGCACGGTGGCTCACGCCTGTAATCCCAGCACTTTGGAAGGCAAGGCGGGCGGATCACTTGAGGCCAGGAGTTTGAGACCAACCTGGCCAACATGCTGAAACCCTGTCTCTACTAAAAATATGAAGATTAGCTGGGTGTGGTGGCAGGCCAGCTACTCCAGAGGCTGAGGCAGGAGAATCACTTGAACTTGGGAGGTGGAGGTTGCAGTGGGCCAAGATGGCACCACTACACTCCAGCCTAGGTGACACAGCAAAACTTCATCTCAAAAAAAAGATATAAGGAACCAGAAGCTGAAAGAAGTAGCTTGCCCAGGCCACACAGCCCAAGGAAAAGTGATGAACAAACCCCAGAAGTCCTACAGCAAGGTATCACTTTAATTCTGCCTACAATCTCCTTGTCTCCGCACTCTGAAAGGGCAGAATGTTTTCCCATTTTAATGACCGGAAAGCTAAGGTTCACAAAATAAAATGGCTTGTCCCAAAGGATGTAATTGTTTAATGACAGAATTAACATAAGGCCTGTGGGGAATAGTATGTATCTTCTGACATGATGGGATGATAGTGAAGAAAACATAAGGCACACAACAAATGAGAATATGTTGAATCTAGTAAAATCTAAACAAATATAAGACTTATGATGATTGCATCTACACTCCATTCTTAGAGATATTTAAAAACAAAAACTCATAAACTAGCTGGCCTTAGATATTTTTAATTGAACACAAAAGCGTATACAATTGCATCTGGAACTAATGTTGAAAACTTCTCTATATACAAGAAACATATGGGACATTTACATATATTTATTTTTCTCCTTTTCATTTGAACTAAGCTTCTGGTTAACAGTTTTAAAAACTCAATTAGGTGCCACTGTGTAAGTTTCTATTATCTTATGCAGTGGTGCCTTAAGAGGCACCTTGATGTCTCCAGTCCAAAGTAAAAATCCTGAAGACTATCTGTTTCTCTCACATACACATTTTGAAAACACAAAGGAAATCTTGGAAGTTGGTGGATAAAAAATTCTCTTTATTTTCTCAGAAGTGTATCTGGTACCAGTTAGGTACACCTTGGACTCTTCAGGAAGATTTAGTTACCGGACAACCAACAACTAAAAAGGCAGCATGGTCTATAGCATAGCAGGATAGCATTCTAGGACAATACAAGTATTAAACAAAATATCACAGGTTCTACACATCTACTTTATCAAATATTAAAAGCTGTATATTCCCTTTATGGAAAATCATTAAAACATGGAAAGAAATAACTCTCACATTACCTTGAAATAATCACCATTCACATTTAACATATTTCGTTCCAGTCTTTTTATATATACATTGTTAGAACCTACAGCACATAAAATATCAAGTCCTACACTCTAAATTAACATTGTGTCATTAGTGTTTACCTAGGGCATTAAAATTATTTATAATTACAATTCTTAATGACTATATAATATGCCCTTGTGTGGTTATACCATAATTTATTTATCTATTACCCTAAGGTGAGGAACTGAAGTAGTTTCTAATATTTCTCAACTACAAACAATGCCATAATGAATACTGTTGCACGTAAGACATTATGTCATATAGAATTACTACTTTGCCTACTAGGTTTATCACATATGGAAATAAAAACAGTACACATGCTCTATACCCTTAGCATGGCCATATGAATTTTTTCTATAAATAACTTAAAATGTATGCTATGGGTAATTATTTTTTAGCCAGAACCACACAAATGTTTCTTTTGTAATTTGTTAAAAATTTCAAGCACATATAAAAAGAGTTTAATGACCCTGCATGTACCCATCACCCAGTTTAAATGATTTTCATTTAATAGCTATTATTTCATCTCTACTCCTACCCATTTCTTCATCCTCAATTATCTTTTTTAATTTGATAGGTTAGATATTATATCTGGTTTTTGCTTGCTACTATATTTTTTAAAAATCTATTTCAAAAGTTATAAACCTAAGAATACTTGGGTAGCCCACATCTTCAGATTCTTCATAAGCAAATTTGGGTATTCTGCAAAATTAATGTCTTATTGTTTTAACTAAAAACCATCCTTTATAAAAAATTTTGCAAAATTAGTTTTGTTAATGACTTAAGTAAAAGTTTAATTCAAAAATACCAATGCTTAGTCTCTGAAGGTGACTACACTGAACAAAGAAAAATAAATCCCAAAGCATTAACCCTTAGAAATGAGTATTGCCATAAGTGGCTAAAACGTCCCAAGTCTGGTTTGTATTTTGTATTTTGGAAGAGTTTCTTTACTTATTTCTCCTGATTTTGAACAGCAGGTTAGACCATCTATTGTTATGCTAGAAGAAGAAATTAACCACAATCTCTCCTGACCCTCTTTCTTGGGTGACAACTGCCACATTGGAAGACAATTACCTGTAATAACCAGGCATCACAATATGGACACCAGCACTTGGCTGGCAGATAGCTGCTGCATCTTTATCATCCATTTTGCGCACAGAGTCCGTGAAAGGTCCCGTGGCATTGATAACACATTTGGCTCTCACGTCAAATTCCTGCCCTGTGAAAGAAAGTGGCATCAATCACACACCCCATTTGCTTCTCTGTTAACGGATGCTGTGTATTACTAATTCATCTATTAACTTAACCTATGGTGAAGTATACTGCATACCACACTAAGTGACCTGAGCAAGTTATTGAAGAGTTCAACAAAAGGCTCGTATCTGAGTGAATTTACCAAAAACAAGTCTGAATTGAAGAAAGAAAAGCATTCCACTTTCTCATTATGGATTTCAGTCTATCTTATAAGTGCCCAGCGTCAAAGCACCAAACATGAAAAAGCAGAAAGAGTAAATAAGCCGCTTTCTCTTGAAAACTAAAATGTGTAAGCAGCATCACTGTGAGAAAACGTATATCACAGAGCTTTTGTTCAAGAAACGATATAATTTTGAAACTGCCTACCTATGTGGTGCTACAGCCAAGGCAATAATGAAAATCTAAATAAAGTTAAAGATGATTCACTTTAACAGCGTGTAAATGCAATGCCTGTGTCACCAAATGATACTTTGAAACTTGGCACATTTATTTAATTTTATTAATAATATGTTTTTGTAAAGAAAATGGAATGCATTCATAGCTGTGGGAATTTGGTGGGCATTTTATTATTATCATCATCATTACAACTATAATACAAAGGGGAAAAATTGCCAAGCCCCACAAGGGAAATGTCGTTAAACCAGTCATTGTTGACAATAAGGAATATAATTAATATGACTCTGAAGCATGGCTTAAATGAAAGAGAAGTGACAGAAAAATTATAATTCAGTCATTATATAAGCTAGGCAAGATACTAAGAAACACCTCCCTCCCAGAGACCTGGCATACCTGTGAGGACATCCTTGCACCGTGCGCCGCTCACACGCACTTTCCCTGTCTGGGGGTCTGTCTTCTTGAGCAAGCTCACTACCTCCACGTAATTGGCTGTGGCAGCCCCATACCTGGCAGCAGTCAGAGCAATGGCAAGGTTCATCCGTGCATCGTTATGTTGTCCTGCAGCGGGGAAAGCATCAGGGGAGGGACAGGAGTCACCTCGAGCCACAGACTGGTGGTACAGAAGTGTGTCACAACAGATATGTCACATCTGTCCCTGTCACCCAGGATATACATGATGGCTGGGCGGCTTGACAGGGCACGATTTAAAAATACACGGTCATTCTCAGCCAGGCATCTACCTGCCACTTCAGCAAGTGCATTTCACGTACCGTAAAAATAGTGAAAATATCCCTTTCCTACAGAGCTGACATCAGTTATCTGAAAGTTAAGAAGTAAGTAATTATTCTCTCAGTGTTGGAACATATGTATATATCAGGCTTTTCCTAATACAGATGAATCGTAAGCATGAAACTGAAGTAATTCAAAACTTCAGAGTATTTGACACCCCAACTGGTGTTGACGAACAATTTTTATGAGTATTTTTATGTGTATGTGCTCTAATATTCAAAATCAAGAGCTTAATCTTCCTTACAGAATTTCTCAGTATTCTGTAAAAGGATTTTTCTTGGTCTGAATTTTGATCAGGGCTCCTTAAAATGTAACTTTTTTTTAATCACACATAAAAGGTAAGAAATTAAGCAGGGCAAAATTTAATTACAGAACAATTCCTACCTGTATTGTTAAAGATTTATTGCTGAAAAATCCTAGTTAAAGAAAACTAAGGGGGAGGAGGAGGGGGGAAAGATGATTAATCACTTTAAAATACTGGCATCACTAGAGACTTTTTCTATTTATTATTGCCAGCAGAGTTAACGCTGACCAGGAAGAATTACTCTACATTGCAAGGGCCAGGTTCTCTGTGCCCTGAATAATTAATTATCCAGGGCTAGATGTATTGAAGCAGGGTTCAAATTCCCACACACTGGGATCAGTTCTATCAAGATAATACTGATAAAGGGATGAATTTGTAATGGATATTGTTGTTGATTTATGTTGCCAGCATACCAAACGTTTAGTATAAATGGTTTATGTAAAGTTTCTTCCTTGTGATTCAGTCTGTGCAGAGCTAGCAGCACTACAGAAGTAATCTGTTCCAGCTAAAAGGGCAAAGTTATAAAGAGAGAATCAATGACTGAAGATTCTGCTGCCCCTCCCCACAAACGTCTGATTCTAAAACCACTGAACATAATCGGCTAAGAATCGTCCCCCCAAAATTAAATGCTCTATCAAGTGGAGAACATACATTAAATCTCAACATGCAAAATAAGGAGTTGTTTTATCTAACAATTAATAGAATGAAAGTAGGAGAAGAAAAAACAACAATGATAATAGCAGTAGTTGAGCTGTAAGTGGGAAGGATAGCAATTCCATAGTTTCCACTCAGCATGATCCTAAAGTTGCTTAAAATCATAAGTATATTTGAAGTTAAGCTTAAGAAGTCAATTTATATTAATGTAGGGTTCCTTGCTTAAAACTGGAATACATTTTATAAAACTTAATGCACAAAAACTGTCCAAAGAAACTAAATAAAATTTCCATTACAGATCTTCTCCTTCAATTAGAAAATAACACAGTACCTATCTCACCCAATCTTTCTGGTTGATTTATATATCTAACAAGGAAACACCCTGCCCCACAACGGCACATATCTGGTATTACAAGAAATCCAAGTCATGCTTGCTCTCGGCATAGGTGCAGAGAAACTCTCACCCATTCAGGTGTGCCTTGAAGCCTCTGGAAAGCCATGTGTAAATGAAATATTTTAAATCCTAAATAAAGTCACTATTTAAAGGAACCAGGCAGAAATTCCATTTATGAAATGGTAGCTCCTTTAGAAAATAGTTACACATTCATCTGACTCTAAGGTGACTTTAAAAAGATAAATTTTTCTTTTAATATGTGTTTAAAACATAAAATCTCATTGGAGCAGTATAGGTTATAGTTCTTCAAGCTCTGTTGCTTCCATACTAACAAATGTTCCCTAATTAGCATCTAAATCTGAGTATGACTGCAGGAAGCAAGGTTAACTTCAGTTTAAAATGTGAGGTGGAAACAAGTTCCTATGGTCCTTGTTTTTCTATGTCCACTCCCCAATTCCCAGCAGCACCTGTCTTGATTCAAATCTGAGATGTCACTTACACACGAAGGCCGTTCATGATATGATCCTCGTCTGCCATGGTTCATAGTGCCTAGAATTGTGAAATCATTTGTAGCTCCCTGAACATTCATGTCATTTTCCACCTTGCCTTTCCACACACTTATTCTTCTAGTTGGATACCATCCTGGAAGTTCTGAGAAACCTCTGTTCATCTCTCATGATCGAGTTCAAATGTCTAGTTCTGCATCTCCTGGAGGGATGCAGAAAATCTCCCTTTATCTGCATCCTTCCAGGGCAAAATTATTCACTGCTTCCTTTCGGTCAACATTTTATTTTGTATATACTTTTTAAAATAGTCTTTATGGTACTTTAATCATCCATGTGTCCATCTACTTACAAAAATGAAAATCCTTTGTTATGAGTCAGGCACTGTGACAAATGCAGGGAATATAACTGAGAAAGATACAGGGTGATCTCTACCCTCAAGAAACTTACATTCCATTGTAGTTACTGTACAATTCCCATGTCTCAAGAGAAGTCAGAAAGGCTTACTTGTTTGGCTTTGTTTTTTTCTAGTTATTATTAGGTACATAATACGTTTCCAATTACTGTTGAGTTTAGCCTAATTCCATTCACTGTGTTAAACAGGTATTGAAATTCTTTTATCTCTAACTACAAATGGAGTATTTTCTCTTGTTAAAGAAATTTCAGACTTCCGTAAGTTGGTGGCAAGAAATGTGATAGAGACAGAAATGTATAAGAATCTCAATTTAACCCCAAACTAGGCCTTATATTTATGTTGAATAACTGGGAGGGAAGCAGAAATAGTTACGAGTGACTCCCTCAGGACTTATCCCAGAAGGTATCCCTTGCTTTGCAGGGAAATGCAAGCACAGCTATTATTAGCTCCCAAAACTTGAGGAGCAAGTAATCTGATATACCCCTGAGCCCTGGGTCTCACACCTCCACCCAGCAATCCTCGTCTTCCCAGACATTCAGCTTAATCCATTTACCTCCTTGGATGCAGGGTAAACTTCCTCCTCCCCTACCCACACGAAATCTACCCCTTACCCTGAGATACCCAGATGCTCACAGTGTATACTTCCTGAGATATATGTGATATATTTTCATTATTCCTAACTAATTTCCCCAACCCTCTTTCCTGACATTTTGAAAGGTAACTCTATGCCTCCTTTTTTATTTTTATTTTATTTTGGAGAAAAAAGTTTTTGACAACACTGCATGCCATTGGAATGTGATACAATAATCCCAAACCCCCACCTAATTGATCTGCTTATTAAGTTGAGATTTTCAAAGCTGTTTCCTTAGAGCCAGGCAACATTATACTGTTTTTCACTAATCACTGAATAGCTTTACATTGGCACTTACACAAGGACCCAGACGGGAACTGTGAAAATCTGTTTCCGACTCTGTTCTCTTTTGCACTTGAAATCTTGCATATGTGCACATACTGAGCTTACAACTCATAGGAGAGGAAGCACACAAGAGGTGGAACTATAACTGTTTTCCCTTGTTTAGAGAAACAAAATATAAAATCTATCCACCAAAAAGAACGAAGGTTAATGGTGGTACAGAAAACTTTGTTTTAATCCTCAATGACCTTGCACAGAGCAGAATAAGAGATATTTTAAGTGAAAAATGCAGGACCACACATAGTTTAGAATGTAACTGTCTAAAAGATAGGCCTTGAATATAAATATTCTGGAGACAGCAATATTGCTCTCCTCAGAGTCAAAGTTTGGCAACTATGTTAACATGCAAAATAGCTCAAAAAGGAATAATAATCAGTGATGTATAGAGTATGAAGAATGAGTAAATATGAAAAAAAACACAGGTAAAAAACTATCTGGCATTTTCTTGCTTCTTTGGGTCTAAAACTCTGATGCTATGGCAGTCTACATAAAAGCTTCCTTTTAATATAGCATACTTTTAAATGGTATGCTTATCACAGACTTATTGATCCGACATCTACCTGCCAGTATAGAAACTCTATTTGCTAGGAAAAGTGGTTTTTAATTAGAATAGCATCTGTCCATAACTTCATCAATTAAAAACTGCGACTGTTGAAATGTTGAGAATACTTCCTTCCACGTCCCTGTGCCCTGACCTGAGTCTTGTGTAATCACTTTGACTACTTCAAGCAAGGGGGAAAATGATGCTGGTAAGAAACAATACCTCCCTAAAGCTTTAACCTCATTTCTAACTAAATTTATACCCCATGCTTCATTGTCTCAGACTAAGAGTGTCGCAGTGACCTCTCTGGCAGCTCCCCCTTAGAAGTCTAGCAAAGATAATTCATTGGCTAACCTACCAAACTCAAGCTAATTTAATATAACCACTCTATTTAAATGTTCCCTTTCTGATCGGAAATACTCAGGTAAAGGCAGGGCAAAATAGGGATGTGTGTGTAGTGTGTATGTGTGAATGAGTGTGTGTGGGCATGCGTGTGTGTGTATTCACGTGTGCACGCACATGCACACGTACTCACATGCACACACATAAGGGGATTATTTTGCTTTAAGGTATGACATGTAAACTTAAAAAGGAAAACTCAAAATAAGAACCCACTCTTCATGGTGAATTGTGATAACAATGCAATTTTCAAACATAAACCATTTACAAAAGTGTTTGTGTGAGGAGTGACAGGGGTCAGGGAGGCACATGAGGCAGTTTATGGAGAATGCACCTTAAAAGATATTGTGGAGAATGGCTCTGGGCTTAGAATGATTGAGTTGCAACTTTTGGGTGTGTCATTAACACGGCTGGGGGAATGTGGGTGATGCACTGTACTGCTCTGGGCTTCAGTGACCTATAAAAGGAGACGAGCTGGGTACCTCTGAAATTATACAAAGCATGCAATAGCTAATTGTTAATAATTACCTATTCCTTTCAAGATCTCACTTCAACCTTTTCCCATTTATGGTTTCTCTGACTTTCC